CCCCAAAACCCCAAAACCCCAAAACCCCAAAACCCCAAAACCCCAAGTTAAAGTTTAGGATTGAAAGCTTAAATAATATTTTCCAAATTATAAATGGAATACTGGAAGCTGTTCTACTTCGTCCTCATAGAACTATTTCTGTTCATGTCATTCGGGATCCTAGCCTTTTGAATTGGTGAGAATTTTTGGAACGTAAGAGCTCTGCACTTCATCATTTTCCAAGACTGATTATTCATAATCTTCTCGATCCTTCCCGCAATGGGGCAGGTATTTATGAACGAGAGGATCCAGATCTTCAATTTTCATTGCTCAGTGATCGCTCTGCATACCATCAACGGGATAATCCTGGTAATCACAGGCCGAGATAAGGTTGATCAACAGTTCTTCGTCTCAGTAGCATGACTAGTCTTCATCGGTTGAATTTTCTCTATTTGTGTCGCAATAATGCTCTCAATTGCCTATTTCTCAGGAGATTTTGAGGCGATCTTTGATGAACAGTTTCTCAATATAGAAGGAAGCAACCATGAGAGAAGACTTGATGAAAATTTCATGGAAGAGTTTGAGAATATTAATACTGTTATATACAAGAAATACATGAACCTTAAAGAAAAAATGTGACCAATCTGCCTCTGAGAGTATTCTGAGGATGACCCTATCAAAGTACTCCCAGGTTGTTACCACGGCTTCCATCATGAATGTATCAAAAATTGGTTCAAAAATCAGTTGAAGTGTCCTTTCTGACGAATTGAAATAAATTCTGAACAAATAAGAAGAGATAAAGACATGACTGAGGATGAACTTCTGAGGAGAATCAAGAGAACAGACAGCTTCCTTACCATTGGATCTAAAAGATGCTGTAGCGAAAAAGAAGTCAGAATTAAAGAAGTCGTTGAAGAAGAAAAAACCAAGTATGCCATATCTAGTTTAAGTATAGATCCCTTGTAAGGTCTAGTAGTAGACTAATTGAAGAAACTAAGAGAAGCAACCCTACTGCTTTTAAAATTCCCTGCAAAATATTAAACAAAACAAAGAAAAAGTCCTCAACAGAAGAGAGAAAGTTGGTCATCGAAGAGGAAAAGGTGACAGTAAATCCTAAATTCCGTCTTTCCACAATAAAGGAGACATATTTTTCAGAAGATGACAAGTCAAACAGAAATATTCAGGATTACAAGACCATCGCTAAAAAGCTAGATCTTCCTTCAAATACCAAAAGGAACATTTCTTCCAATCCTAAGCTTGACAGCAAGGATTCTCTAGATGAACACTATGGTACGGAGATTTTGTGCGCCCATTCCTTTAGTTTAGCTCAAATTTAACTTGCTTTCTAGCACCAGGAACTCTCTTTAACCAGCATGGGTACGACTCACAGATAATAAAGAGGTCAGGAGAGTATTTTGAATTTGAGGACGAGTGTCTGTAAAACCAAATAAAATTTAATAGACCAATCTTCTATATTATTTGTCAATATTGTCAAGCTTGGGGGTTATATTGGGGTTTTGGGGTTTTGGGGTTTTGGGGTTTTGGGGTTTTGGGG